GGATTGTTGGGGTGTCTGTGCAGGGTGAGGGGTTGGACTAGATGATCCTGTAGGTCCCTTCCTGCTTTGTATATTTTGTGACTCAGTGCAATCTGTGATGTAAATGGGCCTCAGAGAGCTCTGTGGCTTCACAGAATTACAAAAGAAAACCCCAAGAAGGTTGAAACTAAAATGAATTTGGAAAATGTGTTCTAAAAATAGTTGCCCATTCACATCCTAGTGCCATTAAACTTCATTCAAGTGTAAAGACTTAAATCACTTAATGGATATTAAAGACTGAAGCACTCAGGTTTCTTTAATGGCTCCACATTGCTGGATACTGCTTTGCAGGCTTTTAAGTGCTCTTTAAGTGCTTTTACCATCTTAAGGTAGCTTAGGTGTTTAAGTGATTACACCATGATAAATCCCTAAAGAGTCTTACCTGGGATTTTGAGACCTTTGAGGTAAGCACTTGTGACTCAATTTGCTCTTAAAAAGAATGGATGTGTTCTTTGGAGAACAATCAGGAACAGTAAGGCAGGTCATACAGTTATACAGGGTTGGGTTTGTTCCATCTCCAGCTCTTTCTGTACGTAGAGCTCTGCTGATGTGCCTGTGGAATCATTATCTTTCTTGGTTTAACAAGTCAAGGCAACAACACAGAGTTTTCCTCTGTTGCCCCTTCATCTCCTGGAGTGCTGCACACAGTTCTGGTGTCCTCAACAGCAGAAGGACATGGAACTGTTGGAGCAAGGCCAGAGGAGGCCACAAAGTTCATCAGAGCACTGGAGCACCTTTCCTATGAGGACAGGCTGAGAGAGTTGGGGCTGTTCAGCCCGGAGAAGAGAAGGTTGTGTGGAGACCTCAGAGCAACCTGCCAGGAGCTGGAGGGGCTCCAGGGAAGCTGCAGAGGGACTCTGGGTTAGGAACTGCAGCGGCAGGACAAGGAGCAATGGGGAGAAATTGCAAGAGGGAAATTAAGGTTAGAACTTAGGCAGAACTCTCAAGGTGGTGAGACACTGTGCCAGGTTGCCCAGGGAGGCTGTGGCTGCCCCAACCCTGGCAGTGTTCACAGCCAGGTTGGCTAAAGCCTTGAGCAACCTGCTCTGGTGGGAGGTGTCCCTGCCCAGGGCAGGGGTTGGGGCTGGATGAGCTCTGAGCTCCATTCCAACCCCTTAACACTCTATGCCAATCTGACTCTCTCCTGTCACTCATAGCATGTCACTCAACCAAATGTGAATGTGTCCCTAAAGAACACCCCCATGCACTGGTTTGCACACCCACACTGCAGCACTGATGTGTGGCTGATTCTCATCTGTTCCTCTCACTTCCCAGATGCCACTACAGCAACTTGGCCTTCTCCCTGCTGGCCCACGTGCTGGCTGAGCACGCGGCGAACGGGCAGTACCAGCGCTGGATCTCAGAGAACATCCTGGACCGCTTGGGCATGGAGGACACAGGCTTCGACATCACGCCCCCCATCCGCTCCCAGATGGCCGTGGGCTTCTACAGCAGCCGCCAGCCAGCACCGCTCTACGACCTCGGCTGGGACCGCCCCTCTGGCCAGATGTACTCCACAGCTGCTGACCTTGCCAAGCTGGCAATGGTCTTCTTGGGCACCTACCACCGCCGTCTCCTGGAGCCCGATACAGTGAAGACGATGCTGACGCCTCTGTTCAAGTGCTCCACGGAGTATTTTGCTAACAAGACTGGCACACCGTGGGAGATCAATGAGCAGTTGGGCTATGATGTCATCAGGAAGGATGGAGACCTCGATGGTTATGCAGCAACCTTCTCTCTTATCCCCAAGCTCCGCCTGAGCTTCATCGTGCTGATGGCAGGGCCCAGGCCACAGGGTGGGGACATTGTCACTCAGACATATGAGCATCTGATCCCTGCCATGGAGACAGCATTCAGAGAGGCAGAGAAAAGCTTGGTTCCTCCTCCAAACCCAGTCCCTTATGTTGGCTACTATACCTATTCCAACCTGACTTTCTATGAGATCAAAGTTGGGCTTGGGGGGGTGCTGGTCATGCAGCAGTTTGGGCCTCATGTGGAAGAGCTGATTCCTGAGAAGTACAGGACAATCAAGCTCCACCACCTGGAAGATCGTGTCTTCCAAGTTGTTTTTGACAAGGAGTTCCCATGTGTTCTGCACTTGGGCACTGCCTCCATCTCCCTGGAGACCCAAAATGGGCAACTCTTTAACTTCTACCCCTTTGATCGCAAAGGTGTCTCTCCTGGCTTTGATGCTCCGGGGCTCAACACCTACAATGTGGTGCGTGTCCTCCGCAAACCTGTGTTCTACAGCTAAGCATCCCCTGACCCTCTCTCCCCTCTGGGAGGTGGCTTTGTGTCTTACCAGACTCTCCTGTCTGTGTGGCTCTCTGGATGCCATTGCAAAGGGAAATTAAGGTGGCAAATGACTCTTTTGCCCAACAAATATGTCACTTCCCACTTCGGAAACGACCTTAATGGCTTGTAATCCCCAGCAGTGCCCAACAGGCCATCAGGCACCTGGAGGTGCCTGCAGAAAACAGAAGTGGGAATGTGCTGGATGGATGGTGTTTGCATGCCATAAAAATAAAGCCAAGTACTGAAGACTCCACACTTACATTGTCTGTTTGATGACCATTGTGGGGATCAACTGGTATCATCAAAGGGCTCAGACTTTCCTGTGTCTCTCAGCAAATATCTCTTCTTTAATCCCAGGGTGTCTCCAGGGCCCTTCAGGAGCTCATCTACCACAAACAAGATCCCTCACCTGGTTTTGCCAAAAGCATTCTGTGCTAGACAATGGCACCAGCCTGATATCAGGTCCTGCTTGTGATACCTGGGAAGGGAGGGACTCTTTCTTCCTGGGTTACAACAAAGAAGCTGTGAAAAGAGCAGAGAGCAATGTGATCCTGTCTTGGCTCCATGGATTTCTGCAGAAGTGGTGGTCACACAAAGGATGTGGTTGCACTTCAGTAGAGAAGGTGGAGGTTTCTCCTGTGAGCAGGGCCCTGTGAGCACATGCTGGGAGGTTCCAGCTGCACTCAGGTGTGTGACAATCTCAGCAGACAGGAAGGTGTGTGAGTGTGGGGTTTGTGTCCAGCAATGCATGGGAATCCTGCTGTGTGTTTTGAGCAGAGTGTCCATGCAGATGTGCTGGATGGATGGTGTTCAGATGCCATAAAAATAAAGCCAAACGCTGTAGACTCCACACTTACATTGTCTGTCTGATGATGGAGAGGATGAGAAAATGAACCTCTCTGCCTCCCTTGTCTCTGGTTGTCTTAGTGTTTTCACTCTGTGCAGTTCTTCAGCTTCAGGTTGGAGTAGAGAGACCATCACTGACAGCCCAGAAACCCATGACTCACAAACTCAGTCCCCTGCCTTTTCTCACACAATTCCAGTTCCCTGATCAACACATGGAACCATGTAAACCTTGCCTTACAGGGTTGCTGCTGTATGGGTTTCCTCTGGACTTTGTAGGTGATGACATTCCATCCCTTGTACAACCTTCTGTGTTCATTGATTTAATCTGGGCTAGAGCAACAGCAATAAAGTCTATGCAAATGGTTGTTGTCCTGTGTGGTCACGTGTGCAGGCACAGCTGGTGCTCTGTGCTTGTTCCCTGTGGAAGTGCCTACACTCTACCATGACACACAATCACAGAATCAGTCAGGCTGGAAGGGACCCCAATAGCTCAGCTGGTCCCACCTCCCTGCTCCAGCAGAGCCAGCCCAGGGCAAATGGCTCAGTATTGTGTCCAGAGGGCTCTGGAATATCTCCAGTGAGGGAGAATCCACAAGCTCTCTGGTCTCTGTTCCAGTGCTCAGTGACTCAACAGGGAAGAAGTTCTTCCTTGTATTCAGGTGGAACTTCCTGGGCATCAGTTTTTATCCATTACCTTTTGTTTTATTGGTTTCCACCACTAAGAAAAGCCTGATTCAACCTCTTGGCACCCCCTTCAGATACCTGAACAGTATCTGAACCTCACCCACAGTGAGGTTCCTCTCAGTCATCTCTTCTCAAGGCTGAGCAGCCCCAACTCCCTCAGCCTTTCCTCATCACTGAGGTGATCCAGTCCGTTCAGCATCTTCATTGCCCTCCCCGGGGCCTGCTCCAGGAGCTCCATGTCCCTCTGGCACTGAGGATCCAGAACTGGACACAGCACTCTGGACCTTCTCCAGCAGCTCCATGTCCCTCTGGCACTGAGGATCCAGTATTGGACACAACACTCTGGACCTGCTCCAGGAGCTCCATGTCCCTCTGGCACTGAGGATCCAGAACTGGACACAGCACTCTGGACCTTCTCCAGCAGCTCCATGTCCCTCTGGCACTGAGGATCCAGTATTGGACACAACACTCTGGACCTGCTCCAGGAGCTCCATGTCCCTCTGGCACTGAGGATCCAGAACTGGACACAGCACTCTGGACCTTCTCCAGCAGCTCTTTCTTAATACACCCCACTGACCTTAGCCACAATGGCTCACTTTTGACTCATGGACAGCCTGCTGTCCACCAGGACCTCCAGGTCCTTGTCCCCAGAGCTGCTCTCCAGCAGGTCAGTGCCAACATGCCTGACACAACAGAGCTTTGGGGGCTGTGAGCTCACAGGATGTGATGTCTCATTACAAGGCATTTGAGTGCTCTAACTCTGGTCTTTTCAAGTGAGGACTAAGACCCACTTCGGGGCTGTTCTTTGTGCTGTGGAGCAAAAGAAGTGGTTGTTTACCCTCAAAAGTTTCTAAGAAAAGTTAGGATTTATATCTACCACATCACTCACTGGCCAGGAGAAGACACCACACTGTCTGATGGAGAGGTTAGGATGTCAGCTGTCTGATGCAGATGGTTTCCAGCAGTAATGCAGACTCTTTCCTTTTCTAGCGAGTCACCCTCAAACCTGTACACTGCCACTTTGGGGCTCTTGGTCATTCCCATTAACAGCAAAGCAGAGCTCTTTGCCACACCTAGCACGAGCCCAAACCTGCAGCAAAGCTCATCTCACCAACTCTTGGCTTACCCTGGGAAGATGAGGAGCTTTGAGTGGGCAGGAGAGATTCCTTACCTGACACAGAAGGGAGAGGAGACCTGGGAACCCCAGTGCAGAGGGCTGGGAGAGCTGTGTGGGGCAGCAGGATACTGTGGAGCTCTGGAGGAGCCAAATCACACCTGGAGAGCAGCCAGAGACACAATGCTGAGGCAGAGCAGGAA